AATATACGAAGCGGTTGTAATTACAACCTGCAGGCCTGGACTCCGGCGGGAAATCATGGCCCGTTTACAACAAAGCTAGTTTATGCGGCCATGTTTCGGGCATCCTATTTTAGTGATCATGTTAACATACCGATGGGTGTCCAATGTCACCATTTACTCTATTACTATCTTATGCACAATGAATATACTACTTCTCCTCGAGTTGACCTGTAGGAGCTTCTATTTCCGGTACAGGACTATTGGGTTTGCTTCAACATGAAAGCTTTCTTCCTTATTACTGTCTTGCGGTTCATGGACTATTTTGGCCTTACTTCATGTTTTGCACAATTCAGACAACGTGTATTTCCATTTGTGTTGCCTTCACGTTTAATATGCCGCTGATTAATTATGCATGTGTTCAATGACTTACTTCATTAGTTAGATGATGCAGACGATGTGAAAGTCTCATTGTTGTATATGCTAGAGTACATATTTTGTGGAAAATACCCTCGACAACCGGTTACTGATGAATATTTTGCACTCATCTTAAATTTGGACGAGTTGAGTACGTATATAGTTATTTATATTATATCAAATAATACATATAATTATTTAGTGCAATTCTTGACATATGTACCCATGGGGTAGAGTGGTATGCGATTTTACTTACAAAAAGTTGTGTACTATTTTTAATAAGATCGGGGAGCATTTGAACCCCACATAGCTAAGAGAGGATTTAAACTATGTTAGTAGTTGTTTTCCATCTTAATTTTCTTTTTTAACATCCTAATTTTGTAGATTTGAATCATAGAGATATTTCCCAAAAGTAGTATAGTTGGTTCCCCTATATCGGGTATTATCCGTCGGGCAGTTGCATACCATATGATGAGTCATTTACATGTTGATTGTGAATGCCTTTTTGATGATAAATATTTATGAATATTAGTTTTCCTTATAATTTATAAGTTGTTATGAGAAAATAACATAACATTAATCTTTATATATTGTTTTATGGAGAGTCCCCAACGAATTGTTGTAGCATACTTAGCAGGAGCGTGCAACTTTTAAGTGGACTGAGAGTGTGTTATGGATATATATTGTAGATTACCCTGATATTTGAGTTATGGTTTTTTGGTATATGTTTTAAACAATTTATCATGATGTTGCAAAAACAAGTTCATATAACCTAAGAATTATTTCTAGAATATTTTAATTTCATACAAACATGACTACAAGTTATTTAGATCAATAATATCATACTTTTGACTATCTTTGACATTACATCTACTTTTAGACTCACCCTTACTTTTTACACTTGACTTAGTCCTACTTGAAGATTCATTATGTGTTAAATCTACTAAAAAACGAGCATCATAATTTCTGCTTGTGTGACTGATCCTTTGGCAACGACTACATTTTTCTGAAGTGGATCTTTACCTTGGGATGGAATACATTAATAGTATTTTGGTTTTCTTGCTCGTTGTTTCTCTATCAATGGTGGTAATACAACCATGACTTCATTCGATTGTTCGTATTTAGTTGGAACTAGCACAAGAAACACAACCTCTGTATATGTTGATCGATATGTTTTCAGTGTGAAGTACGATGACACCCATGTACTACAGTGATGATATCTCAATTCCTTGAGTACCGTCAAAGCATGAGAAAAAGGTATACTAGACAATTGCCATTTACCACATGTGCAACAACGAGTTTCCAATTTGACTATACCATTTTTTTCATTTGATCAGTTACTATATATGCTTTGATCAATCTTGTATACCCGAGAACCAAAGGATTTTTTTATCATCATTTCGATAACCTTCTCAAAATACTTAGTAATATATTTTTTTTCTTTGATCTATAAAAAATATGTATATGTTTTCATGCTCAATAAATTACAGTAGAGTTAGCATGAAAGTATTGTACTTTAAGCAATTATATCCAACATTACATTGTTGACACCACCATTATTGTGTAGTTGCTCGAAAGAAGTTAATCAACATTGTTATTGATAGTTTTCGTGCATCTCTTGATAACACACTGATGGACTCAACGTTGTTTGATGTCGTTATATTATATCGAACCACATGGAAATATGCCCTTGCCCATTTGTGGTAACCAATTATGTCTATCCATGTACGATAATCTTTTTTAGGGCACAACGAAGCCTAGCCAAGATTTCTTTGAAATCAGACTCTTGGTAAGCTTTTGTAGCCTCCTAAAAGATTTTGGTTCTCTCTTATTTGTTGATCTTTGTTCTCATATTCTTCAGCAAATGGAAACAATAAAGTTCATGACACATGTCCAGAAACACTGCTTGAATGGCCATTTTAATTGAATTTAATCTATCGGATATGATAGCTAAAGTGGCCATGTCCCCAATACATTCTTTTAGTTTTCATAAAAACCATATCTATGAATCCCCACTTTCTGCTTTTTCAACACCAAATGCAATGGGGTGATCTGTTTATTTCTATCCATGCCTACTGCTAGGAACATCACACCCAAGTACTTCCCTTTAAGATGTGCTTCATCAACGATAATAATAGGACATAAACAACATTGAAGCGCTCAAACCTACACAATAATTAATAGATTAGTCATTAAACTGAAGATACGTCTAACAACAACTGAAATAAAATTATTTATTATATAAGAAATATTATCGCACAACCGATAACCATGAAAAAGTATTCAACTTTGTTGTCATAACTTGTGTTTATATGTGTAACCGTCGCTGGATTTTTCCCCTACAAATTGTAATCATATAAAGGAAGTTTTTCATAGCTTTCTTCAAGGACCCATCTCAAAAGATTTAGTGCATACATTTTATCATTCCATGCTTGCCAATATGAAATATGTATACTAAGATGACCATTTAAAGTTCATCATATCTATTTCCTACGTAACATATTAGCTGTATTAGCAACTAATATGCCCTTCAAGAAGTAACCCAATACCTTTTTTTGGCTAGGCGATGATGGGGAAGAAGCTGTGTGTTTGCGAAAGTGTCGCTCTCAATAGTTTAACCACTTGAAATGTGTCAGTATCTTTATCTTTTGTCGCCCATATCTGCCATTTATAATTTTCCACAAAACAAATAGCTTCAGTCCTATCGTTTTTAGATTTTTTCACTCCCATTTGAAACCCTTCAGTAAAACATTTGAATCCTAATTTAAGCTTATGTTGTTTTTTGTTTGTGAAGAGTTGATGCTTATTTATAAGAAGTATAATTGTGGCTACTCTAAAAGTTATGAATCTACTGACAAGTCCAACCCCAATATCTTGATTTCTAGTAGCAATACATCACGAACCTATATATATATATATATATATAATATATATATATATATATATATATATATATATATATATATATATATATCATCTGCTAATACACGGCCAACTAATGTTTGGATAAAAATCATGTCCGTCATCATTCCATTTCGAGGACTTACAGAAATACCTCGAACGGTGCCACAATCTGTTCGACGTACAATAATGTGTTGAACTACTTCAACAAGTCTGCGTGTGAGATATCCTGCATTTGATGTTCGGATAGAGGTATCCATAACCCCTTTACGGGCTCCGTAACAAGAAATAATGTGTTCTGTTAAAGATAGTCCTTCGTGTAAATTGCTTTGAATGGGTAAATCAATCATTTACCCTTGAGGATCCGAAATGAATCCTCTCATACCTACTAATTGATGTACCTGAGATGCATTTCCTCTGGATCCCGAAAAATACATTATATGGACTGGATTAAAAGGATCGGTCATCCGAAAATTAGGATTCATTTCTTGTCGCAAATATTCACTTGTGGCATACCATATTTCGATCGATTGACGTAATTTTTCTATCGCGTGTACATTCCCATAATGATGGTGTTTTTCCAAAATAAAACTTTGTTGTTCAGTGTCTTGAACTAGCCATCTTTTAGAAGGTATTGTTAAAAGATCATCAATTCCTAATGAAATGGATGCAGCGGTAGCTTGTCGGAAACCCAAAGTCTTTACTTGATCTAAGATATGTGATGTATGTCCTATTCCATAGTGATCAATAAATCGACTAATAAGTCGTTTCATGGCAGTTCCGTCTATCACTTTATTGTGAAAGACCTGAGTGGGCTGTTCTGCCATCAGTACCTCCATATTGCGCTGAGTAGAATTTTACAATGGGCTTGAGTCAGTGATTGGAAAACTTCCTTTTCTAGATCTTGATTCATGTATAAATTCTGCACTTATGGTCCTAGTTAACCCAGAGAGACTCGAATTCCCATTGGTAGCATAGAATTACAACAGCCCTGCCAAAGCCCCTATATGGCTTCTTCTATTTCTCGATAAAGGGAAATATGACCAAGAGTGGTTCGAATATATATATATATATATATATATATATATATATATATATATATATATATATATATATATATATATAAAGAATTTCTTTTTTTTTATACTTCGTACTATTAGATAGTTTCCATAAATCTCATAATAGGTCCCCACGGATTCATAGTGAATTTCGATGGGAACTTCTCTTGCAGTAATAACGCGTTGATCTAGTCGCCACCGCATGCACAAAGTACTACCTAAATTGATTTGTTTTTGCCGATAAGCTCCAATTGCATCTTAGGGATTACAAAAAAAGGGTTTTTTTTGTATACTTATAGTTATTATCTTCATTTCGATAGTTTCTACGATTACATGGATTATACCTATTTACACAAATACCCCGACGATTTCCACTCGTTAAGACATAGAGTCCATTAAGCATATCTTGAGTTGGTGCCGAAATCGGATCCCCAATAGTTGGAGACAAAAGACTCATATGAGAAAATATAAGTAAACACGCCTCTGCTTGAGCCTCCAAAGATAAAGGAACATGAACAACCATTTGATCCCCGTCAAAGTCTGCATTGAAGCCCTTACAAACTAATGGATGTAAACAAATAGCACGCCCTTCTACTAAAATGGGGAGGAATGCCTGTATGCCTAATCTATGCAGAGTAGGCGCTCTATTCAGCAATACAGGATGGCCATCCAGAATTTCCTGAAGTATTTCCCATACAATCGTTTTTTTTTTTTTTTCCGAATTTGACTCTTAGCAACTCCTATGTTCGAAGCAAGATGTTTTCTAATTAGGTCACGAATTATAAATGCCTGGAAAAGTTCTATTGCTATTTCGCGAGGCAATCCACATTGTTGTGATGAAAGTGAAGGGCCCACAACAATCACGGACCGCCCTGAATAATCGACCCGTTTACCAAGCAGAGTCTCGCGAACTCTTCCTTGTTTGCCTTCAATTACATCTGAAGGCGACTTGTAAACTCTATTATGATCATCCTTCATTGGTTGTCCGCAGATTCCATTATCAAGAAGTGCATCCACGGCTTCTTGTAGCAATTTTTCCTGAGATATTATTAATTCTTCTGGCGTAGCTATACTTGTTGTTAATAAATCCCATTTTTATCCTTCACTCCCAAAATAGGAATAGAGCTACTTTACAAATAGGGCTAATTACTTCGCACCTGACTGGAATAGCCCTCTCGATACCTTATTGGAGCTTTGTAACTAGTGGCTGATTTCCCGTCGCTAGAGCCTTTTCCCAGTGCACGGAGCCCCAACGAGGAAGGCGTTAGTGGTTTATGGTCCATAATGCTAATCCCTCTTTTTGTGCTACTCCTACTCCTAGGACGGGAAGAAGATAAGAAAAGGCCAAGCGTTCTCTTGGTTTCCCAACCTGTTGCTTCTAAAGACTGCCCTCTCTCGGTTGGATGTTGCTCCAGCCTACTACGAGGATCCCGTATCCAACAACCCAATTTATACAAAAGGGCATCCATCAAAGCCCCTTTACTAGATTGGAGCTATGAAGCTTACCTTCTTTTTATTAAAAAGGGAAAGGGCTTTTTCAGTTGGTGCGAAGTAGCGCAGTTCCATTTTCCCTTGACTAGTAGGGGTCCCATGGTTCCTATGTCGTCGCCTTTCCCGGTCCTTTTCTTTTAGTGCTTCGACCCAAAGCGATAGCTTCTAGCTAGTTCAGTGGATAAGATGGCTGCACTCCAGCTCACTCAAGAATGGGACGGTAGTGGTCCGCCGACAAGCTCGTTCTAATCTTGGACGCAGTACATTGGAATCCTGAAGCACCATCATGAACGCTACCGCACGTCCGCCTGCGGTGCGGTAAGGCACCACCCTGTTGTGCCAGCAGCCAACTCCGGCATGTCAGCTTAGTTATCCTCATCAAGCCACTTACTTGATGTCTAGCTTCCCAACTGGTAGACAGTTCCTTTTCCCCCCAGATCAATGAAGAAGGGAGAAGTCACTTGATTCTTCCGAAGAACCGGAAGCGCATCGCTATGCCGAGGCGGGGGGACGGGAAAAGAAATGGCTCCGAAGAAAGAAATTTGGGTTCCCAATGCTTCTCCATGCTCAACGAGATGCATCAACCTCGAGATGCTTTACTCCTAACCCCACAAGGTTCCGAGACGGAGCTTAACCTGAGTCTCGGTTAAAAACGGCGATGACCTATGTTTCACACGGCGTACGATTCCATGGATAGTTTCATTCGAGATCGTGATGGAGGATATAGCTTACGATCATCTTAGTGCACCCGTAAAGAGAGAATGCTTGGTAGCAGGACAGTAGGAGTTCAGTAGGCGGGCCAGTTCACGCCAAGGATAGCAGTCCAAGGGTTGAAAGAAAGTAGTAAACCAGTCAGCTAGCTGAAGTTATCAAGTTCAGAAGTAGCAACTCTCCTAGCCGCACATTCATTTTCATCTCTTGCTCCACTTTCACTACCCTCAGCAAAGCTAGGAGATTCCTGAATAGTCTGCTGCTTTCATTCATTTTCATAAGAAAGGTGATGCATCTGTTCCACCTTATCTAGATTTTCTTGGCATAGCACTGCATTTGATTCTTTGGGAGAATGACATCATCTATAGATAGGTCTTCATTAGAAAACATTTTCAATCTATTTGCTACAGACCCTCATTTTTGAAAGCGGGGGGAAGAGATATTTTTTCTGCAATCGAAAAAAAACGGAGCAAATTTGACTTGGCACAACCTAACGATACATCCAATACCAATGATTTGTGCTTATAATTTGTTGCTAGATCTCTACTCTAGAAAGCTATACAGGCAACAACGAGCGCGGGTTGACCTGAGGCTTACCTTTAATTACTTCTTTCACGACGAGAGAGCCGCGTCCGCAACAGTCGAAGTGGTGGAAGGCCCCCTGAGTCAAAGGGAGAGCTTCTGTGCCTCTCTCCAAGAGAGACGATTTGGTATCTGAATTGGCTGAAGGAGAGTGAGAGTTCGAAGTTGCCGGTAGGTCAATATCCGGGGGTTGCTTTCCCTTAGTAATAGTCCTTCTTTGAAATACAAGGCCCAGAACCCTATATGGGGCAGTGAGAGGAGCTGCTTCTTCTATTTATACTTGCCCATCAGGAGCCTTTCCCTATGTTAGCCAGTTTCAACTCTGGACCATACCGCAGCAGTGGTTGCCGCTCGATCGAAATGGGTCTAATCTTGATATGGGTATTGGCGCCTTTGATTAAAGAATGTTCTCCGCCTTTTTCCTCCACCTACCGGGCTAGTTAATTGTTGGAATGTGCTTCATTGGAACGTAGCTAATCGTCCTTGCTTTTAGAGAACTGTTGGCTCTGCATCGGCCTTTCTGCCTATAGTCTAAGGAACCTATTATAAGGTAGCAAGAGAGCTCTAAGAAGTGGTGGCGACCTCATAGTTTTATAATGATTCTTTCACTCCTATCCCCTCATAAGAGGAGGATGCCAAGAGTTTCGCTGGTTTTTAGGGAAGGATCAAGTCTTTTCGAGAGCTTCTTGACCCGAAAAAATAAGCTTTGTGACCGATTTCTTTGAGTCAGCTTCTTTTCCGTGTGTGATAGAGCGTGAGGTTCGAGAGCGTATTGTACGAACAAATGCTTTATTCGATCACTTTTTGCTAGCGTTAGTGAGTGATGAGATAGCGTATGATCCGTGCGCTAAGCGAGCAACAAGCATTTTCTACTTAAACAACTTCTACTTATAGCTGTTTTGTGTTTCAAAATGACTTTAGTTTTCTCTTTTCTTTTTCTTTTAGATGATGACAAACGAACTGAAAACTGTGAATGCTTCTAATTAATTGAATCTTATTTTATAATCCAATTATATATATATATATATATATATATATATATATATATATATATATATATATATATATATAAAGCAGAGTGATATCTTTATGACAATTCGTCAAGTCCGATCGAGAAACCTGCGCCCAGAGTGCTTATGTAGCCGGTCACCGTTTGGCTAAGATCCTTGATGACTGATTCATAAACCACTCTAGCTTGATTTCAGTCTTGTGGTAAGTGTTCGCATAGTGACTCAGGTCCTAACAACTTGATGTCAGACTGTTCAACATGAGGGACATCTAAGTCCTCTAACATAGATAACATAAAGACTAGGATTAGATGCTTAACATAACGACTCGTATGCTTTCACGAAAGAAGAAGGACCTCGCAGACATTTAACAAAGGATTGTGTTGGTGTTCCGCGCTATCTCAACTCCTAGTTCTAGTAGTACAAGCTTGAATCTGATCTATAAGAATAGATCTTAGGCGGAAATAGAGCTCTTTGAAATTGAAAGCGATATTCCCCCTTATATATAGCCCAAAATAAATAGAATCATGGAATTCTCTCCGAGAGCTGTTGAACTAACGACTCTATTAGAAAGTAGAATTAGCAACTTTTACACGAATTTTCAAGTGGATGAGATTGGTCGAGTGGTCTCAGTTGGAGATGGGATTGCACGTGTTTATGGGTTGAACGAGATTTAAGCTAGGGAAATGGTTGAATTTGCCAGCGGTGTGAAAGGAATAGCCTTGATTCATATGAGTCACTATCCAATTCCATAACAGAAAGAGATGGGACTAGAGCTTTTGGCATTCTATTTGTTGGCATTCAATAAGCTCGTTGCGTTAGAAAGAATAGGTTTGAACTCTTGTTGCATGGTACGGTCAGAGAATAAGCGTATGACGAAGAGTTTCTAGGCACTTTTCAAAGGATCTCCTTCTCAGGGTGGAAAGAAGTACGCAATAAAGTAAACTGTCCTTTCAAGGGAAGTCGAAAGCACTGACCTTGGTCCAATTCACACATAGGAGGAAAGAGAGGTTTTTCTATTATAAGGAAAAGTTTATTCTCGGGTTGTGGCACTTTTACATTTTTTTAGCTAATTCGGGCAATGGTAAAGGTTCATGCATCCCCCATTGATTAAGTTTCGTTAGAATCAGAAATATAATAAGGAAGCTTTTCCTCTTCTGGTTTTCGGGGCTTAGTTCTTACTAGGTTCAGTATCATCACCATCAAATTCAGTGAAACTTTGAAAATGTTCAAATGACTCTAAATGTGGAATTATAATATCATCCTCAACTAATAACATTAGTTTTGCCTCATCATTTGTAGATTCTTCAACATCAAAAGTTGGTGAAGATTTAACTACATCCTTACTTTCATACCTAAAATCGTCCCCTTTTATAGGCTCATTGTAAAAGGTGCATGATTGGTTGTCATTGGTAATAAATTAAAATTTGGTTACTTCCAGCACCTCAAGACTCTTTTACAACTGAACAATTTTCAATGACAAATTTTTGAATACCACTTTCCATGACATTATTATCAACAAACAATTGTAACGTGTTAGGAGGCATACTACTAACAAAACTAAGAAATTATCTGATATCACTAATTGTTTTAGGATGTTGAAACTATAGACATATTTGATTTATGTCTAACTTGGACTTGAAATTAACCAATGTAATTTACCCATGGAAATTGATATCATTCTTATACTTATACAAAAGCATGTGTAGTATGAACAATATACTGCATAGATCCTGCGATACATTGCCATTGCCCTCTAATAGAAGCTGACACTCGAAAATATGCATATAAATAGATATCAACCAAATTGCATGAGAGGTTGTGGTGTTGTAGTTGAAGTTATTAATGAAATTAGAACATAATTGCACAAAGTGTTTATAAGGAAATCCCTTGATCCTTTATAGGATCTCCGACATAAAACATTGGGAGGTGATAATGATCACCTACCTTGTATGATCTTATTGATTTGAATGAAAATTACATAGATGATGATAGAATTATGATTACAAGTGTTTGCCTAGCTCTAGATCTAAAAGGTGTCAAAAGATTGTGTTCATTGTGTATGTTTTACAGTTGTATATACAGTCTAGGTTAAGTAACTAAAAATCCGATATTTTCAGGATCCTGCTGAACTGATATTTACAACGTGCTTTGACTTGGTATTCTGGGATTTTAAGCCCGGCTGTAGTGATTCTTTGTTATGAATGAGTCTTATGTTGACCACTTCTACACATGTGAGAATAAATAAGAAATATAGATGTTAAACTTGTTAGGAAATAATAATGGCGATGTTTAGGATCATGATGTATGTTCGGGATCCTAAGACACCTTTAAGATTTGAGATCCTGGATAGGTTTAAGGATCTTGGATGTCTTTGAGATCCGGGATCCTGAATAGAAATGAGGATCCTGACCCTAACTATTGCCCCTAAATTATACCTGCAAAATATTTGAATTAATTTTAAGCATTTAAAGTGAATAATTTAATTAATTAGAAATAAAGGATTTGAAATTCAAACTCTAACTGATAGAATTGTATCCATTTAAAAGATATGATTATGTTGTCAAATATCTTCTTTATCCTTTGCGGTCTGCATAATAGGGTTAATGGTTATCAATCTTCTATTACTTCTTTTCGCTCGCTTTCAACTGTTATCAGTTATCTTGTAGGTAAATTTC